ATCAGATAGCAAGTGGATCTCTTTACATTCCCCCAGAAGAGTCTTCATCATACTCCAGCTCCGAGTTGACGCAATTAACTAGCAGCTCACTTCCTACTTGCTTGGATGAAAGCACTTTGTCAGAATCTAAGTTTATGGCAACTAGCGGTTCATTGTACATCCCCAGGACTGAAGTTGTTTCGGACTCCTCAGGGACGGCTAAGGCAACTATCTAAGGCACGACTTCGTCAGAGTCTTCCAAGAAGAATAAGGCAACTAGCAGTTAAGTTTGCGCTTCCTCGGATGAAGACGAGTCTGCATCAGTCCTCTTCGAAACTGGGAATCAGGAATGTGTCGAATATGCACGTGCCAATGACAAGACCAGGCGTGGTTTAGTGGTTGTTGACGGGAATCACCACACTATTGCTATTGCAACACTGCAAAAAACTGATGTCAAGTTTAGCAAAACTATAAAGATTCAGAACAAACATAGACGTGGTGGATAGTCCCAGAATCGCTTCCAGCGTCTCGCAGATGAGAGCCGCGACAACCATCTGAAGGTTATTATTGAGCGTATGAAACGAGCCTTTTTCGATAAGAATGGCCAGCTTCTCATTGACGAAATTGTGCTGTCTGGCCCTGGCTCCATGAAAACCCTTCTTCAGAAAGAGCTGCCACCCCAGCTAGCTGCCATGGTGTCCAGTGTTGTCAACATCAGTCGGAGCGGAAAGCCGGGACTGTACGATCTCACGCAGATAATATGCGGCAAGGTGAAGGAGCAGAAGTCAGCCACCGAAGCTGATATCCCAGAGCCCGAGCTTGAGGAAGAGAGTTCTTCCTCTGAGCAAGTGGAATCCTTTTCCACAGTGGAGTTCGGGAAAGATGTACTGACGAAGATCCTCAAGAAGTAGACGGGCTGGATCAAGAAAGAGTTCGGCGCTGACTACTGTCAGCAAATGAACCCAGAAATAGTCGAAAAATTTCTGGACCTCCAGAATACGAGCGACCTGAGGAAAGTGGATGTGAAAAAACTTCGTGCAGATTTCCTATCGTCTTCTAAAGTGATGGGCGAAGAAGAAATTACGTATGACACAGCCCTGCGTGTGCTGCAAAGGCTCCAGGAGAAAAAGATTTTGCAGAAGTCCGACTGATTCGTCAGCGTCAACTGACCGATAATGAATACTATATATAACAATGTTTATGAAGAATATGATGTGAATGTATTTATGCATATATATATATACATATTTTTTTATACAGCCATTCATTCCATTGCAGGCCTCTCTCGATTCACTATTGAGAGGTTATATGGCAGTGCCACCCTTGCCTGATTGGATACCCTTCCTAATCAACCGCGGTTCTGCGCGCTAACACTTGTGCCACGGCGGTGACTTCCCCTACGACACCTGCGTTTGACTTTTCAAGGCGATATGTCGTTTTGTCGGGCTCGAACCAGCAGTCAAAGCTCAGGCATTTTTTACGACGCCGCGACGGGGAATTGAACTCGGGACCACAAGGGCCTGAGTCCAGTGCGCTAACCACTGGACTATCGCGGCAGTATATATATATATATATATATATATATATATATATATATATATATATATATGACTGCCGCGATAGCCCAGTGGTTAGAGCACTGGACTCAGGACCCTCGTGGTCCCGAGTTCAATTCCCCGTCGCGGCGGTCGTAAAACTTCCTGCACTCTGACTGCTTGCTCGAGCCCGAGAAAGTGACATATCGGCTTGAGAAGTCAAACGCAGGTGTCGTAGGGGAAGTCACCGCCGTGGCACAAGTGTTAGCGGTTGATTAGGAAGGGCATCCAATCAGGCAACGGTGGCACTGCCATATAACCTCTCAACGGTGATTTGAGAGAGGCCTATGTCCTGCAGTGGAATGAATGGCTGTTGAAAAAAAAAAAAAAAAAAAAAAAAAAAAAAAAAAAAAAAAAAAAAAAAAAAACATATATATATATATATATATATATATATATATATATATATATATATATATATATATATATATAACTGCTGTGATGGTCCAGTGAATAGAACAATTGGACAATTCGTTCAATTCCCCGCCACGGCACTTGTTAAATATGCCTGCGCTCTGACTATTGGCTCGAGCCTGCTCTCACGGCGAGAAAACGACATATCGCTTTGAGAAATTAAATGTAGGTGTCGTAGGGGAAGTCACCGCCGTGGCACAAGTGTTAGCGGTTGATTAGGAAGGGCATCCAATCAGGCAACGGTGGCACTGCCATATAACCTCTCAACGGTGATTTGAGAGAGGCCTATGTCCTGCAGTGGAATGAATGGCTGTTGAAAAAAAAAGAAAAAAAAAAAAAAAAAAAAAAAAAAAAAAAAAAAAAAAAAAAAAATATATATATATATATATATATATATATATATATATATATATATATATATATATATATATATATATATATAACTGCTGTGATGGTCCAGTGGATAGAACAATTGGACAATTCGTTCAATTCCCCGCCACGGCACTTGTTAAATATGCCTGCGCTCTGACTATTGGCTCGAGCCTGCTCTCACGGCGAGAAAACGACATATCGCTTTGAGAAATTAAACGTAGGTGTCGTAGGGGAAGTCACCGTCGTGGCATATAATACTTATATATAATACTTATATAATATTATATATATATATATATATATATATATATATATATATATATATATATATATATATATATATATATATATATATGTGTGTGTGTGTATGTGTGTGTATGTGTGTATGTTTGTGTGTGTGTTTGTGTGTATATGTGTTTGTTCAACAGCCATTCACTCCACTACAGGAGTGGAATGAATGAATAGGCAGCACCACCCTTCCCTAATAAGATGCCCTTCTTAGTCAACCGCGGTTCAGGGCGATACCACTTATACCATGGTGGTGACTTCCCCTACGACACGCGTTTGACTTCTCAAGGCGATATGAGCCAATAGTCGGATTTTTAACAACTGCCGTAAGCATATATATATATACATATATATACATATATATTAGTGTATATATATTTATATGTATATATATATATATATATATATATATATATATATATATATATATATATATATATATATATATATATATATATATATATATATATGCATGCATAAACATATATATTAGTGTATATATATATATATGTATATATATATATATATATATATATATATATATATATATATATATAAATATATATATATATATATATATATATATATATATATATATATATATATATATATATATATATATATATGTATATATATATATATATATATATATATATATATATATATATATATATGTAGATGTATATATATATGTAGATGGATATATATATGTAGATGTATATATATATGTATATATATATATATATATATATATATATATATATATATATATATATATATATATATATATATATATATATATATACATATATATATACATATAAATACATACATACCTATAAATAAATATATATATATATATATATATATATATATATATATATATATATATATATATATATATATATATATATATATACATATTTTATTTTATTTTATTTTTTTTCGGTTTAACGTCACGGAACTCCCTTTTTGATCACGGGATACGACGGGCCTCCCCCGTGAAGGGCAGGCAGGATTTGGCAGGTGGAGACCGTTACCCTGAGTGGATGCCCTTCCTAACCTCGGTCCGTGGCCGGGATTCGAGAGGAGAGGAAGGGGTATAAGAGAGAGAGAGGACAGGCAACGCGGCGACACGGGGCAGGTGAGGACAGACGGACGGAAGCGAAGGGAGGTCAGATCAGGTCGGAGGGTCGGGCGGATTGTGTGCCGGATGGCCGGCGTACGGGAGAAGGCGGAGGATGTGTGAAGCGAGGAGGCTGTCGGCGGGAGAAAAGCCGCTGTTCAAGTTAAAATTAGGCAGCAGCTTTATTAAGGAAGATTCCACCAGTCTGCGGGCGTGGACGTCAGCGGAAGGGAAGACAATTCGCGCCGCTGACCAGTCCATCTGATGGCCTGTATCCCACTGATGGTAGAAGAGAGCATTGTTGTTGTGTCCCCTGGATATAGCATACTTATGTTGAGACAAGCGCTTGGTGAGACTAGCGCCCGTCTCGCCAAAGTATTGCTTGTCACAGGAGCCACAAGGAACAGCATAGGTGCCCACCATCGAGGAAGAGGGAGGGCTGGTGTGGACCAGGTTACGACAGAGAGTGTTCACCTGGCGAAAGATCAGCCTGCAATTGAGAGTGTGAAGAGGGCGGCGGAGAGAGTGGATCTCCTCCGTGTAGGGCAGGCTGAGGGTGGGCAGGTGAGGAGTCTCTTTAGGGGAGGACTCGTGGTAGAAGGTCCGCCGTGCTCTGGATAGCGCGGCGTCGAGGACATGGCGAGGGTAGCCCAGTTTGGAGAATGAACGACGCAGAAAGTCGATCTCTCCTTCCAGGTACTGGGGGTCACAGATGCGGAGGGCGCGGAGGAACAGCGACGTGGCAACACCTCGCTTTACATGGAGAGGATGGTAAGAGAAGAAGTGTATATACATACCACTATGCATGGGCTTCCTGTAAATGGAGAAGAAGTGGTCAACAGAGCGATGAACTAGGGTGTCCAGGAAGGGGAGCTTGTTGTCAGCCTCCCATTCCACCTTGAAACGGATGGAAGGGGAGAGAGAGTTCAGCTGGGTCAGGAAGTCCGAGAACAGGGCAGGGTCATGAGGCCAGAGAGCGAAGACGTCGTCAACATACCTCAGCCAAACCGTCGGACGAAGGGAGATGGAAGGGAGAAGCTCAGATTCGAAGAATTCCATAAACAGGTTAGCCAAGACCGGAGAGAGGGGAGAGCCCATAGCAACACCGAAGGTCTGGGAGTAGAAGCGACCCTCAAAGGAAAAGGAGTTCGATTCCACACACAGACGAATCAGCTGGAGGAAGACGTCGGTGGGCAGAGGGAGACGAGGATCCTCTGGGGGAGGCT